AAATTTTGATATGAAGTCAAGAATCTGACAGATTCAAATTAAAGAAGAAAATAAGTATAAAATTGCATTCAATGTTCCTTTCGGTCAATACGAATAGAATGTTTTGGTCTAAAAAATGCTCCTTCTGAATTTCAAAAATTATGAATGATATTTTCAAATTTTTTCATTGTTTACATTGATGATGTTCTCATATTTTCTGAAAGTATAGAACAACATTTCAAATATATTAATACATTCATGCATGTTATCAAGAAAAATGGTTTGGCAGTTTCTGCTAAAAAGATTGTTTTGTGTCAAACAAAGATAAGATTTTTAGGTCATAATATTTAAAATGGTTCAATTATTCCAATTTAAGTCTAGATTTTTCTGAAAAAAATTTTGATGAAATTTTAGACAAATCTTCTCTTCAAAGATTTCTTGATTGCGTCAATTATGTCGATAACTTTATCAAAGAGATAGGGTTGATTTGTGTCACTTTTAGAACTCGGACCCATGGAGTCACGAGTGCATATTAGCTGTCCAAAAAATCAAAAAAGCTATCAAAAATATTCCATACTTATCAATTCTTTATCAAAATGCTTTAATTATTTTTCAAATCGGTCTTCAAAAGAATCTTTTAATTTTCTAAAGTTTCAAATATTTCAAAATAAAATTTGTCTTCACGATAAGATATTTTGTATTATCTTTATCTCAAAATCCTAATTATTAGAAGAAAATCAAATTATTTTGTACAACTTATCTCCTGAAAAGAATATTATGTAAAGAGAGAAGAATACAAGAAATTATTCAGATTCGGGATCTTTTTCAAATAATTATTCAGATTCAGGATCTTCTTCAAAATTATTTGAAGACAAAAATTATTCAAGTTTCAGGTCTTTCTCAACCAAATAATCAAATTCTTTGAATAAAGGTAAATTTTCTCAATCAGATTCTTATTTAGAAACTAAATCAAAATTCTATGAGTTTAAAACTCATGCAAGACTTTTCAAATTTCAAAAATATAATTTTGATGATATTCTTACTACTTATTACCAAAGATAAGGATATTATAAGATGTCTCAAAAATACTACTAAAATCTTTGACGGTAGTAACAAAATTATAAAAAAAAAAATCAGAAGATGAAAGGCTTATTCTTAAAAATTCTTCAAAAAGTTTATCTTTTAAACATCTATTCTTATTGAAAAAAGAATGGAAGAAATCTTATGAAGAAAGTCTTACAACTTCCTGATAATATATATCAAAATATTATTAATAGAAACCCTATTTGTGCTCAAACATTCAAACAAGTTATTTTTAGAATATTCGATAACTTTTATGTCAATGGTTTTGCAACTTGTGAAAGTTATCACAAACTTCATTTTACCCTCAAAGGTATTCAAATCATTAATGTCATTAATGAAAAAATTCGTCAAATGATTGAATGGGGATTTATTTCCTTAATTTATATTGATTCAAAAACATATATTCTCTTTTTAATAGCTCTCTCAAAAGAGTTATTAATCGTCTCTTTGAGTTTAAAGTTAAAACTCTTAAAATTGAATTCTCAACTATTCTTCCTGAATGATTGTCGAATAAGTCAAATTCAATGATAATTTTTTTACTGAAGAGTATTTTCCAACCAAACAAATTGTTACTATCTAGTGTACTTTGCCAAGTAATCTTCCGATGCTAAATTTAAATATATCTTCAAAAATTTATGGTCCTGAAGAAAAAGAAATTATTAGCAAAAATCATGTAAGAGAAATTCTTACAAAAAATCGGATCAAATTCTATTCTTGCTGCAAAAAAAAAAAAAAAAAAATCTTGGAGCAAATATTGACTGCTCAGGATTGCAGTTAATATTCTATGATGAATATTATGCCATTTTTACTGATGAAGCAAAATGGGCCCAGACTCAAGTTACTTTAATTAAAAAAATATTTGATAACGAATTATCAATGTCTCAAAATTGTTATGATAATTTAATTCATCAAAGTGTTATTAAAAAACCCGAAGAAGAATTTAATGATGATGATGATGACGACTACAATTATAATGATGAAGAATTATTCAATCTCAATAATATGCTCGAAGGATAATCTTCTTTCAAAAAGATGGAGGCATAGTCAAAAGAGATTATTCCTTCTTTTCAAAGTGAAAGACAAAGAAAAGGAGATTAAGACTTTTCTCTTGGTGGATTAACTTTTGCAAATGGACGGTGCAAATGTTTCAAAAGATACAATTATTCAAGATTCCTTCTCTAAATTGAAGAAAATTTCAAATTCGGAATTCAAAATTTCAATTATAAAAGTAGATCAAGTGTTCAAGATCTCTTCAAAGTTAATTTAGTCTAGCTCTCAAGAGAGTTGATTTAGTGGGAGATAAATAATTTTCATGATATATATATAAAGTCAAGTGATTCAATATGTAATTTCTGCACATATAATCTTTATGTTCCCAATTAGCTAAATTTTATATTTCCTTAACAATAGGCTTATCAGCAATTGCAACAACAGGTTTATCAAATTCAATGCATCAACCACTTTAAAAATTGTCAAATAAAACTGTATCTTCATTTGTCATCACTTAAAATTGTTTCCATCTAATAATTCGAATTTTTCAAAATACTTATAAGAACGTGTGTATCTATTGCAGGCATAGCAACTAAGTATAAGAAATTTCATTTTAAATTGTTGAAAAATAACTAATTTTAGTAATTTGTGGAATACCGAAAATAAAACGCATTGAATTTCGTGACAAAACGATATCCTAAATTGAAATTGCTCGTCATTCATTGTCATGACTTGTTTGGACAATCCTTGCAAGTTACAACAATCAAATCACTTTTGTAGTGATCACAAATGATTTTAGAATGCTCAAGTATACTCCAAGACAACTAAATAAGCAATATCAAGTAAGAAGAATCGCAGTATATATATAAAAAAAATTATATTTCGTTTTTGATATATTTTCCAAATAAATGCATGTGTTTATATAGCTAGAAATGTGATACTACCTCATCGATGATTGCAATTTTTCATAGTTATTAATAACAGCCCAACTTTCTGACTATTATGTCCGGTAAATAAATTCGAAAATGATTAAAATAAACAAAAAAATTATATTAATCAAGGAAGCTGACCTTCCACACAAATTCCATATTTTTCACTAATTGGACATATTGTCTAATTTGATTATTTTTTTTGAATAATATATTTATCATATTACTATATACTTGATGGAAACGGAGCTGTCTAGAATATGACTATCAAGCAACCTTCGCAGTTACATTCCATAGACATTTCGATATCTAATTAGTTTCTAACACTTTGGCTAATGGGTTCGCAATATCCTTAGCTGGGCCAAACGTACAGGTTGTGGGTAGTCCTGTGGTTGGGCCGTTCGTATCATGGTCAATTTCCATTAACGATTTTTATTAGGGAAAAATTCTTAACTCAGGTGTATTGTTTACACAAATTCAATTTTCTAGTCCTAAATTTAAAAGTGTAAAAATCATGTATTTATTTATTAATTAAAAATAGTTTATTAATTAAATGTAATAAGGTCACAGTTATAGAACTAATAGTTACAGATACAAAATTTTAGGTCACAATTTATTCATTAGTCACATATCATTAAATTAATTAGTCACATATTTAAAAATTTATATGTCACAATTTATTTCGATGGTCACAGATCTAAAAATTTATAGGTCACATATTTTCAAATTTGTTAATGACAGTTAAATATTTGGTCACAGATGGTCACATAAGTAAAATAGTGGTCACAGACCACCGCCACTAACACTATCGCACCGCCATTGCCATCACGACCACTTGTGACCACCCTCACCTCGTTATCGTTGCCAATGTCATAGATAACTAAATAGTTAGTCACACTCGTCAAATAGTGGTCACAGACTACCACCACCACCACTATCGCACCGTCATTGACGTCACAGGCACTTGCAACCACCCTCACCCCGTTATCGATGCCAACACCAACACCAACAAAAACAAAAATCAAGGTAACCACAACCAACAATCACCACCTCCGTCACCAGGAACTACCACACACACTAACAAATACCCAGTTTGATGGAAAATCACCACGACCACCACCACGAAAAACACCACCAACACAAAATCAACATCTCCACCGCCAACACGACCACCGCTTTAAACCACACAATATCACCGCCACTGCCATCCAGATCTGAACACACCACCAGATCCAACAAGCCACCGCCATCGCCTCAAAATATTTCAAAATAAATCTCCAAAATCAGTTGTCGAGCAATGTTGATCTCAAACCATCGACAATAATGGTGATGTTGTCGCTGGATGGTTATGTTTAGCGCCGCCGCCGAATGGTTGTTCTGGTGCAACTTTCAATTTCATAACCTATATAAGCACTGGTACCTGGAAATGAAGATGGAGAGAGAGAGAGAGAGAGAGAGAGAGAGAGAGAGGGGGGGGGGGGGGGGGGTGAATTGAAATGGTTAGGGTTGGAATTGGGGAAGAAATTTAATTATCATATTCATCCCGAATTTATGAATAACAAAACTTCATACCAGATTTTTGCACTGTAAAGTTAAAACACCAGGGACAGTGTAATTTCCTCTTTTTATTATGTGCCCAAAAGTTGGTGGTAGTCGTGAATAAGAAGAAGAATAAGGAGAAAGAAAGAGGATAATTATTTTTAAATTTTCAATAATTTATTTAAAACTCGTTTAAACTTTTAAAATTTTTTGATATTAAGGTTAGAATTATTTCTTTATTTTTTTCCTTTTTGTTTTATTTAAATATTAAAATATATTCATCATTTCACAATTTTTTTTAATAAAGAATTGGATGGAAATGATGTTTTGTACAATCAAAGATATAATTAAGTGTGAAAATGCCAAAAAAATGAAAGATGGAATCATTTTTCACAATAATATTGAAAAACATGTACGCGATAATTATTCTCTCCTTATTGACTCTCTAACACCTTTCCCAATCAAAAAAAGGAAAAAAAATAAAAAAAATCCTCTGCCATGCATTTTTATGCAAATGAACATAGGTTTCATGAGGGGTACAAAGATCTGTGTTCTTCCCTTTACAAAAATAGAGGGAAATGTGAACAGTCAAATTCATGTTATTTAAACAGTATAAAATCAATCCCTGAAAAATAACAGTCTCATATAGAAACCAAATGATGCTGCTACCAATATTTACATATAGAAATTAGTAAAGATAAACTATCAGTGGATAAAAACTTGCAGATAAATATTTTCAACTCTCAAGCAGCAGATATTGAAGTAGAGAGAACTATATATGACAAATATTGCAGCCCGTCATGAATTTTCCCGATGGCGGAACTTTGACCGGTGCGAAGACCTTCAGAATACATATCAGCCTTCTTCTGAACCGATTTCTCCGGGAGTTCTTGTGAATCAACAGCAACACTTTTGGTGGCAGCTAAATATGCTTCTGCTACATCTGATATGCCTGAGGAGATTAATGTCATTTAAATGAATATTTTACGGCTGGAAAAAAAATTATATCAATTACACGCTGAACAGGTAGAACTATTTCTGCCATGCTTAAGTGCCATAACGAGAGGCGAGTTCAAAAAGGCTAAGATTGATAATACTAAGTTATTTCATCTCGATGCTACGAAGTTAAAGCTGAGTTTAAAAGACACCAAAATTTAGGCCCTGTTTTTTGGGGGAATAGTGATTTATTGGAGAACATGCGGTTGAAAAATATGAAAAAGTTTTGGGTTTACGTATAAAATTATTTTATGGAAAAATGAGATGTTGAAAATGAGTTTTTACAAAAAATGAGTTTTGGGAAAATGGAGCTCGAACATAATTTAATAGGAACAATTTTGGTGTCCAAACATTTCTAAGATGAACAGTAATCTATACTGTTTCAAATCGCAATACTATAATTATCACTAATCAGTCTCCCACCAAGAATGCATCCTCAGTGGAAGGTGATAATTTAAACTACGTGCACAAAAACTCTCCCCCACCCCAACCCACCCAAGGGCCTGGAACAAGAAGGATGCTTCCCACCTGCCAGCCCCATGAGAGAGCATATACTGAATGTGCATGGGGACATAATATAAGGTTCTCTCTTATAAACCCTTCAATGAAAATGAACAAAATATGTGGTTACCACTAAGATAGTATCAACTTTCAGATGGAACTTTCCACATTAACAAAAAGCACGTCTTCAACTATAACCACTTTAACAGATAAATCCAAGACAAGCATACCTGTAATAAAACTGTTTGAAACTGCTTCCACATTTAAAGTCATGGATTGCACCTTTGTTCTGATAATCTTAGCTTTTTCAACGGAATCCTCGGGCCAATCAATCTTCACAGTGTCCTCATCGATCTCTTGGTCTTGAATTTTGTTTGCATTAGATATCATGGATTTCCCAAGCACCAGAAGTTGAGTCATTGCAAAGCAGCACATTTCTGAAAGTCTCTGTGCAGACAGCCAAAGGTTTTAGATCAATTATACGTGTATTGCAAACCAATTTAAATTATGTAAATTTTTAATGACAAGAATTTTTGCAGTAACAAATCATCCGCATACATGAACACCCTCTGATTGAAGAGAATCAAGTCTCCCAACAGTTCTTTGAATTATGTCATTTGGAGCTAGTCCAGCCAAAGCATTTGTAAAACTGCAACAGACCAGGTATCTTTTAGCTCCACATTATGCAGGCACAAAAGGGAGAAATAAATTAAACATGCAAACAAGCATGCTGTGGTTACATACTTGAGCTTTGATCAGTATAGATTTCCCAGAAGTTTTAGTAGATTAACCATAAATGCTCTCATACTTTATAGTTATCAAAAGCAGCATGAAAAACCAAAAAGACAACAAGATAGTCAAGCTGCAATGCTAGCTGCAAAAAATTGAGAGTTCATCTCAAGTTTACAGAAGTTTATCTTTAAGCCAAAATCAACACCATCGCTCATGCAAGAGTCAAGAGTTATTCAGGTGCATATCAAGTCGATGCCCTTCTGCTGTTTTGATTGATAATTAGATACCATTATACAATATGCAACTGGTACTCAACCACAATAATTTCACGCACATGTGGTACCCACTCGACATTCAAAATGATGAGATGACTTAAAAAGTAATTAGATCAACAGAAATAAAGAATCTCAAGGCAAAATTTTACCCAGCAGCGAGTTCAGCAGCCTTGCGAATGCTTGAATCATGTAAGTTCTTCATTTCATCAATGGTGTAATCAGTTCCAGCCTCCACTTTCTTCCCTTTCTCTGACTCCGTGCCACTTCCATCAAGCTCAGCTCCCGAGTCAAATATGTATTGGACCTCTTTGAGCTTTTCATCACACAGAGGTTTTTGTTCAGATGAGAGCTTAGCTTTTCTTCGGTTATATAGCAGTACATAATGGTTAGACAATGATTCCAACTCCTGCAAGCCATCGTGAGATTAAAGTTTGAGCAATCAATCCAGAAGTTTATGAAGAGATGGAAATTTAAGGGGGAGAGAGAGAGAGAGAAGAAGAAGAAGAAGACAGGAGCAGACCTCTATAAAAGACGGCACTATGGAGCCAGCCGCCCCAGGTTGACCGCCATGTTGAATGGATTCAGCAAGATTTGAAGCATTGTTCTCGAGCCTAAAGAAATTAAGAGACAACTTTGAAGCACCAAAAATTTTAAATCAAGAAAGCTTCAACTTGACCAGGAATATTACTTCAGTATTGGTTTTATCATTACAGGGGAGAGTGAAATTCTGCAAGGAACTTCTGGTAAATCGTCTTAATAAAATAATTGTGGATCATAAACTTAGATAAAACTAAAAAGAGCGCCGAAGTAATTAACTTGGGATCGCAGGAAAATCAAAAAGGAAAATGCACAGAGCATAGATAAATGCAATGCAGAAACCACTGACAAACGATTTCCAGTTATTATACATTGTCCTCTAAAAGAAACCCAGCACTGAGGTCCATGAGTTTGAAATTGCCAATAATATAGAAGACAAGGCAAATCATTGTTCTGAACAATGTGAAAATGAAAATCACCACCTGCATCTAGATATCTTTTTGGTCCAGGCCTCAATAAAACTCATTGTCTAGGATCATTCATGGTAAGAGTTGATCTTCCATGAATAATTGATCTGTCAAGCTCTATAAGTTACCTGTATCATCCATCCCCATATTAAACTCACAATGCTAAAATATATTAAACACCTTAATATCGCCCACACAAGATTCTCAGTGTAGTAGAGCAGCAATAAAACTTTCTACACACTTAGTGAAGGCCTAATAAATAATAATTGGGAGATTCCAATCCAAAGCCAAGATTGTTTCATTTTAGCTTATTCACCAATCCTAAAAAGTGGACACTATTTATCAAAAGAGAAGTATGAAAAATAGTGAGTGGGTTTTCAATATTAACAAATTTTAGCAAGCTCCATAAAATATGTCTAACTTCCACTTTTGATATAATCATTACCTTACTGTCTTTTAATTTCCAGGTGTGCACGACTGTGGCTGTACATGTGTACCACATTGAAATATTATGTACTATTCAACTTACTTGTGGACTAAAGTAGCACCCTCTTTCCATGCACTTCCTAATGCCTGCCAAGCTCCAGAGGTAAAAGATTCTACAGAGTTATCGAAAACCTTCAGGCCCTGCACACAACAAAGCAAATCATGTGAGTTGGACATCTCATGTTCATGACGCAACTCTCACGTTCTAGTTTTCTTATTAGTAAGATTTTAGTTCTACTAGGAATAGCTGAGTGGGATTTTAGTATTATATTATATACTAAGAGATTTTTTTATCCTTTTAGGAGATGGTTAGTAGATTGTTAGAAGTCTATTAGGAGGTCACCTTTCTTATGCCAATGACTCTATAAGAAGACGAGTAGGCATGTTTTATAATCAATCAATTCTACATATTCAATTAGTTCTATCAAAATTCTTGAGTTTTTCTTCTTTACACAAAATCCCAATCCTGTTGCTGCACCAAACTCATTCGAGGTAAAAGTAGAGCAGAAGCAATAGTTTAAAGCAAGATATGAGAAATTCCTTTCCCACTCTTACAACATTCTAAGATACAAGAAGCAAAACATATCATGGAAATGCTATGGATTGCGGAAGCGGGAAGAAAGATGCTTGCGAATAGAAGTGAAGTAAAACATTATGCATCAAAATGCAAACAACACATTTCATACTATTGTGTTGTAGGACTTGCCTGGCCAAGGAGTGAATCTTCACTGGCTTTTTCCAGTTTAACCAAAGCCAACTTACGACGCTTGTCATTCTCATCTTCACTTTCCTCTTCATTTGCAGATACTTCTGTTTCGTCATCCTTCGAAGACTCGGACTCTTCAGCTTGCATTTGCATATCTGTAATGCCCTTTGCTGCTGTCTTAGCTACCTCAACAGCCTGAATTTATAAGAGCAGATCTCAAACAATTATCAATTCTGCTACAAATTCAGTAGAATGCATTCAACTATAAAAAATTAAACATAAAGAAATCCTGTAGTAGTTTATGTATTAAATATCTTTTACATAGTTGGGAGAGGGAAAGAATGCATTGTGATTTTCAATCACATTTTTAGTAACCATGTAAGAAGGGGCAGCATTAGAATATTTTTTATATTCATCCCTAAATCCCCCTTTTTTAGAGCAAGGTATTAGAACCAGCTCAATCAGCAACTTCTTTCTAATGTTTATGTCTGGAACGTCAATTTTTGAAAAGTTCAAACACCATAAAACTAGAGTAACCTAAAAAAGCTATTAGAATATGATCAGTTATTATGACTTTATAGTAGCAACTAGCAAAAAAACCTCTGAAAAAAATGCCCCTTAAAAAAATGTCATAATTGCATTCGTAGAACAAAAATTGCATTCCTAGAACAAAATCTTACTTTCGTATAAAATGCTATATCATGTATCATAGAGCAATTTAACTTCTCAATGCGGGGGAAAAAAAGAAGGAGAAAGCACTTTGCTCGGTTGATGAAATCCAGTCTATGATAATAAAGCAATCCTTATGGATTTTCAGATATATGAAATTGGGGGACGACAAAGTAAGAAAGAAAAAATTTAAGATAGACCAATTATAATAAGCGCATTTCTGGGCCAAACAAATGAAGAATACTTATTAAGACAAAATCTACCATACATAGTGAATAAATAAAGGAAATCAACTTCAGCAATCCTACATAATATGCAACAACCCATTACTCTCCAGCTATATCAGAAATCATTTTTTATGAATGCATTAATGAAAAAAGCCTATAGATGGATGATTAATAACTCAGTGACTCACAGCTCCACAGATTCATCCAAATTCACGACTAAATTTAAACGTCTCATATGAATGAAAGCAGGCTGAAATCACGTGCAATAAATTTTCAAGAATGGTAGAACTTCAGAGTTCAGACTTGAATCTACATTTTTTTAGTCAATCTAAGCCTATGTCTTGATCAACTACTAAGTCTAGCTCCCAAAAATAAATAAATAAATAAATAGAGGAAACCGTCAAATTTAACTCAATCGTACACTGTATTCACATATTCATATCCTAACAATTTCCCAAAATTAGAATTCCAAAGAAAGACTACTGGCAGCAGGTGTAGACATTTTTGTGGCCCCTTCCAAAGGAAATGCGGGCAGGGTAGAGCTCGGCAAAAATTGAAATATCATTAGGTTCCTAGATATTATCAGAAACCACAAAAACACAAATCAAAATGCATAAACGAGCACACAGAAATCATAACCAATATTATACAATAAAGATATATATCAAGACAAAAAAAAATAATAATAATAAATAAGATTAGGTATTTGTTTGAGAGAGATACATTGCGAGAGATCTCTTCGGCAGCAACAGTGGCGGCTTTCTGCAGATCTGAGAGATAAGATAATGGAGAAAACCCCCAACCGCCCCATCCTCCACTGCCGCTTTCTTTCGGTTGCTCTACGGCAGCTGCTTCTGCTTCTATTTCAGGCCTTATTTCTTCATTAGATTTCTCCGCCATTCAAATTCCGGCAAGAACAGAAAAATGTATTTCTATTTTTTTTGATAAATTCACAAAAAAAAAAATGTATATAATGATGCCCAACAAAATTTTGGAGAGTTCAAATACCTGTGGGATCTGTTTGATGTTTTTTTATTTTATTGTTACTTTTGGTTTATTTGAAACCAAAATGCAGATCATCAGGCTATTGCTTCGAAACGACGCCATTTCGTTCTTACTTGACTAACTGCCATAATTATCTCATTGAGAAATTTTATAGTCGTTACTTAAACTTTATTTTATTTCAAATTAATCCCCACGATTTACTTTCTATTACAATTTTGGTATTCGGTTAAATTTTCATACTTTTGACCTTTTAACAAAACTAGTCCGCGTCTCGTGCGTTGCACGAATTTTGTATTTATTAGCGTGAAATTTATAGATTGTACAAAAAGAATTTGAAAATAAGAAATGTTTGTTTGATTCTCATATTTTGGTCGACTGTATATTTTATGTCACGATAATTTATTTTTATTCTTATAAATAAGTATAATGAATGTTGTGATTGTATATATGTCAACGATAATTTATTTTTAATTATTTATTGTATTTTTTTGTTTAATGTAGATGAAGATTTTTTTTTATCTGATATTGCAAATAATTTGTAAATTGAATTTCGCAAAATGCTTTTCTTTAGCAACTTCGATTCGAGAAACTATACTTGTAGTTCAAAAATAACCCATGCAATTATAAATTGAAAGAGAATATCCACATACACAAACATTTAAATAACAAACTCAGGTTCGCATGTAAAATAACTTGAAGTGGCACTTACTGGATGACCAACTCCCTTGTTGGTGTAAGAATTAGAACCCTAACAGCAGGCATATTCTTCGGATGATACAACAGTCACTTCAAGGTTGGTAGGGCAAAAGAATTTTAAAAAAAAGTAAATAAATTTTATTTGAAAGTGAAAAGAATTAAAAAGAAATTTAAATAAATTGATAAAAAAAACCAATTATTTATAAAATAAAATTTTCAATTTTAATTTTTAATTATTTTTTAAATAGATTCACATTGCCTCTCTTACACTATATATATAATATAATAATGTAAGCAAATGAGTTGATTTGAAATGGCGTGACCATAGTGTATGAAAATGGAGAACGGAAAAGTACAAAAAAAAAAAAATTGAATAATCCTCCGTGCACGGAGACCACACTATATATAATTTTTTTTTAATTCTTTTCTCTTCAATTTTTTTAACCTACAAATAACATTTCCTTAAAACTGAAAAATTAAGTTTTATTTGGAAGAGAAAAGAATTAAAAAGAAAAAAATAATTGATTTTTTTTAAGAAAAAAACGCATTTGTTAACACATACGTTTAATCACCGTTTAATTATTTTTGATATTTATTTAGATCATTCGATATCTCCACGATATAGTTCTCAAAATGAGTTTCGAGAGAATGTAAAATATTTATCAATTCGACTATCGTACAATCGTCGATAAATTTTTAAAGTTAACTTGTTATCGAAAATTTCGAAATAGTAATAAAATAATTGATTTTTTTAAAGAAAAACGACTTATGCGTATTTTTTAACACATACGTTTAATATCCGTTTAACTATTTTTGATATCTATTTAGATCATTCGATATCTCTACGATATAGTTCTCAAAATAAGTTTCGAGAGAATGTAAAACATTTATCGATTCGACTATCGTACAATCGTCGATGAATTTTTAAAGTTAACTTGTTATCGAAAATTTTGAAATATAATTTGAAAATGCCTACTTTGACGTCCCATAACATTTGCTATGATTGACTGTTTCACACACCGTTAACGACGTGCAATACTATGCCGCGAGTACTTCAAAACGATATTAAGAATGTAATATTTCGACTTCGTTTAATATCGCGTAATGAGCCTGAAAATGAATACAAAAATATAAGTAAAAAAAAAAATTATTTCTCTCTCCGTGCACGTGGCCAGTCCTTCCATTTTTATTTTTTTTCCTCCGTGCACGGAGACGGTGTCTCCGTGCACAAAGAGATTTTTTTTTTGCTGTGTAGTTTTACGTTATAATTTTTTTCCAATTTAAAATTCTCTTTAATTTTTTTCTCTTCAAATTTTTTACTTACAAGTAATATGTTGTAAAAAAATTTCTGTCGTATATTATCTCTATTTTTTTTAATATATAAAAGTGATTTTTTTCTTATATCCCTACTATATATATCTATATCGGATTGAGGAGGAATGGAAGTTGCGTGTTGCAGTAAATTTGGAGGTAGTGTATATATAATAAAATAAAATATATATCAAACAAACGACATCGTTTTTTGCCCCCAATTGAAAAAAAAAAAGCTACATTAAAGATGGATCAAGATACTGTTACTTTCTACAGTGCCCTCACATTCCCCTTTTTATATAGTAGGGACATAGGTCATGTCAGACTTGCACGTCCATGTTAGCCAAAATTTTCAGTCTTGTAGTGGGGCTATCAACCTCTCACATGCAGCATTAGTCTCACTCTATTTGACTATCTTCCATAAATTTTCATAACGAACCTAGACATCATTCGTTTCATATTTGTCACAATGCTTGCTAGTGTGTAATCACCTTAACACATCATTGTGCTACATTTAGTATCGAAGTACTCGCCTACTCGCAATGTATATCTTCTAGCTTTCTCATATGCTCATACACAATATATTATCCTCTCGAAACATACTCGCTAGAAATGAATTCTCCTAGCTCCATCAGAAGTATTGAGGGTTGTTAACATACCTCACAACACAATCATTTTAGATATCACATTCTACCGAATTTCAACTTAAAGCTTGACATCATGTTCTTCGTTTGTGCCTAGTCCAAGTAGGTCATCTATTAATCCATGGCTAATTAGAAGCACCTCACGATATACATGTTTTCATATATTGACATATTATTGTATTCGCCCAGGTATGTAGCATCTCCTACAATCATAGCCAAATAACATTGAGGCAAGGCTCGAACTCATAGCCAATGCATAGTGTTAGCAAACGAGGCCTTTATAGTGTGCTTTCCTCGATAGCTCATTTGGTTAGAGTCGTTATTGAATCCTTAACGTAGGTAATGGAGCCTAGCAAGGCTATATTAGTAACCCCAAGTCTCCTTTGGGTGTCCTATGAAAGCCCAACGTCGCTTGATGAATTTTGACCCTATACAAGTACTTTTACCTTCCCTATAGGTGCCGAATGTATGCCCTTAGTTGCTCCAACAGCCCTTAAAGATTGTATATTTAATGTATAAGTATTGCCCTGGCTGCCCTTCCATGGAGGCAAAAGCACGAGGTATGGCTAGCCAACTGCTCACCAAGAATGCCCCTTATGATAGACTTAGCAAGAAAATTCAAATAATAGATGTCTGTTAGTTGAAATACCATAATTTTCATAACTGATGCTACCACTCTCCAAAATGACGCTCCGTTTGATCGTTATCGGATCTAACATCTTCAATATCAAGTCCACAGATTTAAGGTCCCAATAAATATACGATCCTAGAGAAATTTCCCTTGCAATACAATTAAAACTCTGACAGTGTGTGACATTGTCACCTTCAACCCCTATGTTTCCTAACCAAACGGACTTTGATTGTCATCTGTCATGATGAAAAGCTTACAACTCCTCTCCATAACACAATTCTCAAACTTCAATTGCAAAGGTCTTCTACTCAACAAATGAACTTCTTGTCATTACGACCAACTATCAAACTCATTTCATGCCAAACTTTCCCCTCGTCTCCAATGGTCCTCACAAACATTAGGATTATGCTAAGTGGTGGTCCGTGATATCATGACTCGTCAAACATCCCAATAGAAAAACTAATTATTAGCCCTTGTTTGAGCACCCATTTTAAGGGAAAAATGTTTTTTTGAATACTATTTTTTGGATAATGTGTGATTAAAAAATAAGTAAAAGTTTTCGATTTACGTGTATTTTTTTTTTATTAAAATGTGTAGTTGGAAATGAGATTTGAAAAAATAATTTTTGATAAAATGGGGTTCAGACAAGGGTAAATTTTGATAAAATTTGATGAAGTGTGTAACTAAAAAGTTTATAAAAGTTATGGATTCATGAAATATGTGATTAAAATTAATTATCAACTTTGCTTTAGATAATCTTTTTAACTAAACTGAATATGGGCTTAGTTGAGTGATCAAAATGAAATAAAATGTAAACATGAGTGGCCAATTTGGTATAAAATAATAAAATTTAATATATATTTTTATAAATTATTGTTTTATTGATTTGATGTTCAACCTCCATATGGCAGTGGGACGGATTTGGGGTTGGGCGATGGTTGGCCCTCTTTGTTGCCCCGTTATATATATAAATTTCAAGTTATGCTATTATTAGATAATAAATACATATTCAAAATTTTAAAATTCAAAGCAAATAATGCTCAAATTAATAATTTTTAATTTTTCTTCTTCTTCACAGCATAGGCTGCCTCACCCCGCCAACCTGTCGAGACAGGTTTTTTTTTTTGGTCTCATTCAGGGCGGGATGAATTATTTTGTTATCTCTAGTTCAACCCAATAAATATTGGATAAATCTGGATGTACATTTTTGTTGACATTAAAGAAGACATTCCCTCTTATGTGTCAAAATCTGACCAATGGTGTAAAAGAATGTGTAAAAATCAATAGTTATGATAGAGACCATGTCGAAGATGTAGAACTATAGTAAAAGTTAAATGAAATTTAATGTGTTTCATAGACATTTGGTTCAATTTTAATAGCAATTACAAAAATATAGGACTTCAGAACAAATATTATCAAAAATTCATAGAAAATTAGGGTAGGGATTCAAGCCTTTTTGGTTATGAGTTCTGAACATTTGAAAGTGAGTTTCTTAATCCTTAATATATTTAAATATGTGAATATCAAAATAGTCCAGGAAAATATTCTCTAATTAAACAAGTTTAGTATTTTCATGAAAAAATAAATAAAAAATAAAGAATTTGGAATAAAAAATTCATTACGAATCAATTATATGCAATTTATCATCATAATTATGACATATTGGAAATGTTAACAAATTATCTAAATTATAAATAAATAAGATGAATGATTAATTAGTCGATAATACTTATAATTCTTCATAATGTTTGAATTAAAAATGACTTGACTATAGAAATAGTTTATAAATATGCTACAAACTTATGATAGTGAAATCAGAAATAAGAATGTTATTATAACGATTTTATTTTTTTATTTTTTTTTAGTTTTTTATTTATTATTTTTTTATTTTTTGGTTTCTCATGTGAATGGCAATGCAAACTTTACGGACTGGGTTTGTACATTTGACTAATCTTAAATGTTGTTTTTTTGGTAGTTTTAAGATTTGTTGTGGAAGACAAAAAAATACCAAAAAGATAATGATACCGTACTTAGTAACCCGGGAAAAATGGCGGTGGTGGTGATGCATATTGGAAGCCCAAGTTTGGCGGGAGGATGAAGTCGTCGGCCGAAGGTGGTGGAGGAGAGGATACTGGAGGTGGAGGAGAGAGTAGTTTGGGTGCCGGTGGAGGTGGGGATGGGAAAATGGGTGGTGGAGGAGAAGATGCTAGTGGTGGTGGCGGTGAGTGGACTGGAGGTGGTGGGGAGAAAACTGGAGGTGGGGGCGAGCTCTTGCGTGGTTGAGGAGGTGATTGGGCAGGTGGTGGTGGGGAAACAATTGGAGGTGGTGGTGAGCTCTTGGGTAGTGGGGGAGGTGAGTGGACGGGTGGTGGTGGGGAGAAACCTGGAGGTGGTGGTGAGCTCTTGGGCGGTGGGGGAGGTGAGTGAACGGGTGGTGGTGGCGAGCTCTTGGGTGGTGGTGGAGGTGAGTGGACGGGTGGTGGTGGGGAGAATACTGGAGGTAGTGGTGAGCTCTTAGGTGGTGGGGAAGGTGAGTGAACGGGCGGTGGTGGGGAGGAAACTGGAGGTGGTGGTGAGCTCTTGGGTGGTAGGGGAGGTGAGTGAACGGGTGGTGGTGGGGAGGAAACTGGAGGTGGTGGTGAGCTCTTGGGTGGTGGGGGAGGTGAGTGAACGGGTGGTGTTGACTGGACTGGAGGTGGTGGTAAAAAAATCGGTGGTGGCGGCGAGCGCTTTGGTGGTGGGGAAGGTGACTGGATAGGTGGTGGTGGTGGGGAGAATGCTGGAGGAGGTGGTGACTGGACTGGGTGGTGGGGGAGGTGAGTGAACGGGTGGTGTTGACTGGACTGGAGGTGGTGGTAAAAAAATCGGTGGTGGCGGCGAGCGCTTTGGTGGTGGGGAAGGTGACTGGATAGGTGGTGGTGGTGGGGAGAATGCTGGAGGAGGTGGTGACTGGACTGGAGGTGGTGGTGAAGAAACCGGTGGTGGCGGCGAGTGCTTCGGTGGTGGGGGAGGTGACTGGATAGGTGGTGGTGAAGAGAAAATTGGTGGCGGAAGTGAGCGCTTTGGTGGTGGGGACGAAACTGGTGGTGGTGATGAATGATCTAGGGGAGGGGATGAGACTGGTGGTTTAATATTTGGAGGTGGAGCAAAAGCCCTTGGTGGCTGTGGAGTCTTTGCCGATGGAGGGATTGGTGCAGTGGGAATTGGAACTTGTTGCGGTTCTGGCATAGGACTCGGCTTTGGTGCTGCTAAGGGAGGAACCTTAGGTGAGTTGGCCTTCGGCGCTGGTGTAGGTTTAGGCTTTGGTGGTTGTGGTTTTGGCGTCGATGGGGTTGTGGGAGATGGTTTTGGTGATGGAGGAGATGGAACTGGCACAGCCTTAGGTGGTGGTGTTAGCCTCGGCCGTGGTGGAGACAAAGGCTTGGGGTTTGGTTTTACAGGAGTTTGTTTGGGCGGCTCCTTTGGACCAGATTCCGGTGGCGAACTCCTGCATCCTTCTTTGCTGCAATCCACTGGCTTCTTCAATGCAGACCAACAAACCTTAGCCGATCTCTGGTGAGGAAAATTAGCAAAACAATTGTTTGTATCATCTACCACAAGGCCTTGAATTGCTTTAGGTTCACAAACATCATCTCTAGCCTCAAAAAAGTTGTTAGAAAATGTCAGATTTTGCAAATTTGGTAGGCTGCAAAGACTTTCCGGGACCTTTCCTCTCAACAAGTTGTGTCCAGCATCGAAAGCTTCCACCCTCTGCAAGTATTCGAGGCCTACTGGTAGGTCTCCAACGAACTTGTTATTGCTAATGTCGAAAACTGTGGCGCTCTTCAAGAGTGTAGTTTCTTCAGGCAAACAACCCGAGAGTTCATTGTTTGACAAAAGTAGTTCATCCAATGTGTTTGCCATATTGCCAATGCTCTTTGGAATACAACCGTGAAATTTGTTGTTCGACAAAACCAGCACTGAAACTGTGGAATTGCCTAAATTTTCGGGGATGATGGAGTGGAACCGGTTGTCGTTCAAGAAGAGCGCGTCGAGGTCCTTATTGAAGAGTTGGGGAGGCAATGGTCCTTCGAAATCATTGTACCTAAGATCAAGGTATTTTAGCGATGGTAACTCCAAGACAACCTCGGGGAAAGGTCCAACAAAACGATTGTTGCTAACATCGAGTTCAAAGAGAAGGCTCAGCTTCAAGATGCTTTTCGGAATGATCCCACAAAACCTATTCGAATTAAGATGGAGAAGGCTAATGTCCGCCAAATGCCCAATCTCAACGGGTAGGTGTCCTGCAATGTCAGCACGGTTCAAGTCGACCCCAGCAACAACAGTCTGTTTGGGATCATTGAGCGCTTGTGCGCAGAACACACCATTGTAGGCACACACATTAGGACCCTCCCAATTAGCAGTAAAGTTCTGTGGATCCGAATAAATAGCTTTCTTCCACGCCTGTAGTGCAATGTAGGCTTTCTTGAGCCTTGGATTGGCAAATGTTAAACGAGCATCAATCTCGTATTTGAATTCAATATGAAGGCTATCATCATCGTGGTGATGCAAAAACTGACGACGGGAAATATAAGCCGCCTCAGCATCGGTTAAAGCCGCAGAAAAGGACGAGAAAAATAAAAGGGAAACGAAGAGAAAGCAGCCGAAGACTTTCATTTTGGAAGGGTTAGCAATGATTAACCCCCTTGGACAACCCAAGGCTGCTTATAGTCATCATCTGCTGGAAAAAATGAGGGTGTTATATGGAGAGACAACCAAACTATTGCGGATTTGGATGGCTCTAACAAATTTCAGACACAAATTTTCTGCTCTCTGCTTGGATTTAGGCAAGTTTTTCTCCATGGAACATTATGAGAACATACTAAAAATAGTCTTAACATTGATCATTTATAGGAAAATGCTAAAAATAGGCTTACCGCTTACATTAATCACCATCCAATACTGCATTGTGTAAAAATAATATTGGATTTGAACTTCTATAATAGTTAGAATCCAACATGAACATGCTTTTGAGTCAAATATTTGGTTATGAATATTGTTTCTTTCTTACGGCACCTCTGCCCTGCTTCATTTGCAAAATTACAGTACACATTTGGTAGCTGGGTGCGGGGTGGAGGTGGCATTGGTCGAAGAGTCAAGATGGTCTCGAACTTCTTGTCTAATTGGTTGCCCTTCCATTTATATGAGAAGCCGCCAACACATTTTTTGACATCTCGATACATTACACTCCCAATGTAGGACAATGTGATTGCCAAGATATCAATAATGTATCAGGGAACAATCAATGAGAGAACAAATAGTATATCTGAGCTCATATAGAAACGCTTCCACTGGTTTTGAGTCTCTCTCTCCAAAAAAAACCCCAAGGCAGAGTGATAGAACTTTCTCTGAATTGCTGTGGAAGTTTCTCTCGCTCGAAACTGACTTCAAAGAAAGATAAGATTGACCTTCATTCCCTTGTGTTAGGATCAAGATTGGGGTGGTCTTCCTTCTACCTATCGAGAAAGGAAAAGGTAGCAAGATATAGTGAAGAAATAATCTGACAATGGGATAGATCCCTGCCCAAAAGCGTATTTTGACACACAAACTTCTCTTTTAATTCAAAACGATCAGTGAGTATAACAAAGACGAGTCGAGGAGGATGGCAAAAAAGCAAGAGAACTACTTCATACTTCCTCGTCAACATAGTGCTTGGCCGCAAAGGGGAATAGGCATGAAAATGTGAACTAATTCATTGCCAAATCAAAAAGTTATTTATTCAAATAAGACACACCACCCTTTTTTAACATATACACACATATTGCATTAATTTCATGTCATACTACCCAAAATCCATTTTACACCATCATAATCTTCTACTAAGTACATTTCACGGAGGATGATAAATGACAATAAGTCGATATCATCATCATCATCATCATCATCATCATCAATCTGCCGGTGAATACCAAGCTGGGGATCGTCCTCTGGCTCTAAGCAATCTTGTGAAGGGCGAATCCGGCATTCTGGCTTTCTCCTCTTCCTCGAGCTCATCAAACGTCTTGGGCAACCCGTCCGGTATCGGACCAGGAACAGTGCCTAAATTCTCTGCAGTCACGGTCTTCATTGACTCCTTGTATTCCTTCTTCGCTTTGAGTATTGCTGCAATTCCATGTAAACATCCAACCAGTGATTTTACACCACCAGCTTCAATAATTAGTCTCTCCAACTCCTCCTTTGGGGCCTCTTCCTGAAGAATATCATAATTGCCAAAACACATCAGATATAACTAGATTTAAACTTTTTTTTCGTCCAATGAACCAAAATGTTACATCAAGCATGAAAAATAAACTTTTAAGCCGAATAAACTTGTCTCTAGGCAGAATCCACGCCTGTTTGGTACATATTCTCTAAAACACCACCCTTTTTTTTTTTTTTTTTTTTTTTTTTTTTGGGAAAAAATTTTGTTAACGGCATATTCTCTGGACAAAATAATTTTACGTTTTTCCATATTTTTCAACACAAGTTGGGAAAAAACTCACATTTCACATTTCTATTATCAAAAAATCTACATCAAAGAAGGCATAAATACAGCTTAGTGCATATTTGGTATTGATTTTTTGCCAAATTTTTTACCGTTATTCATTATTCCAGCCGTTATTTTTTACTTCACGACCCACTTTTCTCCGTCAAATAATTAATTCTCAAAATCACTACCTACTGAAAGACTAGATCCCCAGGATGTCTTAAAGAATGGAATCCATCTCATCAAATGGAAGAATTACACGACATACTTGGTGTCCCATTGAATTATCACTCCATCAAAGAAGCCATAAATTTATTGCAAGAATTTGTAAAAGAAACCATTCAAGAAAATTTATTCATGGGACGTCAAAATATTCAAAAAGACTCAATTTTAGCACTTACTTCAAGTTCTTTGAGCTCAAAGTAGGCCCTCCAGCAGTTATAAGAATCATCCCCTTCAAGCGTTGAACAATAATCTAAACCCACAGCAATTAAAAAAAAAATTAATTACCCAAAAAGGAAATTCACTCTATAGGATTTTCAGTATGAATATTAACGAGATTAAATTAAATATAATATAACATTCTCTAACAGTATGAACTAAAAAAAAAAAACTTGCCTGCGAGTTGGTTTTCTGATTTCTGAATCAAAGGGGGTTCTTTAACAGCTCTATCTATTTTGCTTCTGCTAAATGGCTCCAGCTTTGGAATATAAACATTATTTCTTGAAGAACAATGAATTCTGGGAATCAAACCACATCTTGAACTTGATCTTGAACAATCAATAACGCCACTGATTTCGAGAAAACTTCTTAAAGATGAAGAACTAAAGGGCACTGTTTGGATCATCTTTTTTTCCCCTGTTAATAAGTGATGTTTCAGATAAAAGGCAATATTATGAAGAAAAACCTCGTCGTTCGAGTTTCTTTATAAAGAAGATGAGTTTCAATACATAGGGCATTGGATAAGGGTGAGATATTTTTAATTACTTTTGTGATTGTTTTGGGACATTGTGTCAGTTGAATTTAATTGGATCATTGAATCTTAGCCGTCTATAGAGTTTCGTGCGCCAGTTGAATAAGTTGTAGATGAATAATGGATAGGACTACGCTCGCTGTAAACCATGCCATACAATCCCCTCATGTGTGTACGACCACCTTAATTTTAATGGATAATGCTATTCCAATTCAAGCATTTTAAAGAGAAGACTCTCTAATTTTAAATAAGAATATTTATAAATTTAAAATAAAAAATTTTAAATACTCCAATAGATTCTTTATATTTAATACTTATAATTTATTTGACTTTCATTATTTGAGATTATAATTTTAATATTTTTCGGGCAATGTGGTTAAAAAGAAAAAGAATTTTTTTTGATTTACATGTAGTATTATTTTATTAAAGAATGTGTGGTTGATACGAAAAAGAAAAATGGAGTATAATTTTAATGGGGATCAAATAGGGCTTAATTTTGCTCTATCGAAAAAATATTTATTATTTTTCCTTATCTTTTATTTTCACTAACCTCCTTCCAAATTATTAAATTATTTTTTATTGAAAATTGAAATATTTTGTGTGTGTTTAATTATAAAGTTTTGACTCTCTAAATTTGGAGAGCAAAAACCTACTCTATAAATTAAAATGTTAATTTGGTTCGTATTTGAGTTACATTATTTTGGAAGAATGTATTTTGGAACAGTAGATTGATGAAGAATGTATGATTAAAAAATGAGAAAAAGTTCTGGATTTACATGTAATATTATTTTATCGAAAAATGTGTGATTATAAATAATGTCAAATCACTATTTGAAAATACTGTTTGAAAATGTATTTTTTGGAAGAACGTGACTCAAACAGGACCTTAAAGAGTTTATTGGATTATAATTTTAAGGACTGATTTTTTTAAAATAAAAAACATCTTATATTTAAAGAGATGCTCTTAACACCAATTTAGATGTTTGTTGAATGTTTTTAACGGGGGGGGGGGGGGGGGGTTGGAATGGATGGGTTGTTGTTAGAGTTGGATTGAAATAGTATAGCTTTTAAGATATTTTGTTTCTTATCCTTTTCGTTGGATATTTTCTTGGAGTCAAAGAAATCTGGATTTTAAATTTCTAGTCTCTTCTTAGTCAAGGTTGAAAGATATTAATGGCAAAATATTTGTCCCTATTCTGTGTATTTCTTTATTTTTATTATTATTGTTATGTATTTAAATTTAAATAATATTTTAATTTTAAATAAATAATAAGTAAACGAATTTAGATATGAGATATTTTACCATGACACTCCTGAAAATTCAATGGCAAGTGAAGGATGGAAAGGGTTGTCCCGCAGCATATCGTCATAATCCCTTACTATGTAATAGTGATTTTGTCGTGTGAATTTGATTATTCGTTGAAGATGGTCGAGTCATAGCATATGTGTTTTACATGATTCGTTTATGATTTTTCGAATTAACCAACTTGGTTATGTAGAAATCTTCCTCGCTTTTCAAATATAAAAAATTATAAAGTGAATATACTTGGGACGAAATGGTGAGAAAAATATAAGAATTATAAATTAAAAGCTCCAATAAATAATTGAAGGTAAATGATCTTATTTTAATTACATATTCATACCATTATGAAAATAATAAAAGTTCTGTTTTTTTGGTTTTCACCGTCTTTGATATTCTTTTCAAATTCAAATTTGTGTTTTAAATTAACTTAAAATTTTATGTTAAGATATAATTAGAGATGTCAACGAGTCGAGTCGAGTCGAGCCGGCTCACGAGCCAAAGTTTTTGGCTCGGGCTCAGCTCGAGCTTTTCTAAGGCGGGCTTTTTTTTCCCCGAGCTAGGTTGAGTGAAAGCTCGATCGGAAAATTAAGACTCGACCCGAGCTTTCGGCTAGTGCTTTACTGAGTCGAGCCGGGCCTAGCTCAGTTTTTGGATTTTTTTTCCCTATGCCTCTTGCTGCCTGTTTGGCGGCTATAACAAGCTGCCAGTTGATTTGCTGCCGGTTGGCAGCTTGTTATAGCTGCCTGTTGCTGCCATAGCTGCCAAATAGGCAACAGATTCTCCCCCCCCCCCACTTTTTTTTACGGCCGGGCCGGTCCTGCTCGGCTCGAGCCAACTCTAAAAAATGAGGCTCGACCCGAGATTTGGCTCGATGCTTTCGAGCCTCGAGCCGACGAGCCCGATTACCATCCCTTAATATAATATAAACAAGTTTTTGTCGCCAAATATCAAACCTCAAAACTATTCAAGATGATGATAGTTGGCAAGGATATCTGCAACTTAATTGGTACATGAAATGGATACAAGTTGATAATGTTATTCTTGAGATAATGTTGTACACATTACTACTAAATTGGGATTCATTGAAAAAATGAGAGCAAAATAAAAGAATTTTAGAACAAGGAAAAGATGTGGTAAATTAAAAATTACTTTAAAGTAATTTTGAAAATTGTTAGGCAAATTATTGTCGAACGATCTCCCGATAGATGATGTAAAATCTGTATAATTTTCTCAATCGGTATCCATCAAATGACTAATCTAAAAAGTCAAAACCTCAATGAAACGATCCGATCCTAAAACCATTTGCGCCATTGAAACTAGCATAATTTAATTGGTGTGCTTATGACCCCCTTTTTCTCCTTCTTGAATGGCTTATAAGTGTCGGCACACTTACCTATCCTATTGGGCTTGGCCCAGCACTATTTGTCCTAGTGTGAACTTATATATTGTTGCTTCTTTGGTTTATTGTGACCATGTGTTATTGCTCCCTCTTCTCTTGGTGAAATCGCCGCTGCTTTGTGCTTCTTTTCATTGTGCCCTCTTCATTTTCTTTCGACTATAATAAGGGATCGTATTACATTTCGAAATCCTCAAATGCATTATTCAAGGACCATGAAGAAAACTTAAAGCAATTCACCTTCGACGACATATTACCTCACGAAAGTCACGCAAAGAAGACGTGTGCATTTTGTTCAATTCAAATAGATAATTTACTTCAACATTGGAAGCAACGTTATATGTGGAATCAAAATGGATGAATGCTCGTTGAATTGAAATCTCAGTTCCATATCATACTGTGAATGATCGACATTCAGCTTATTTTGTAGATCATGGTATATTATCGCATATGATGTACTCGATATTATGAAAATTAGAATATCATCACGTATATCACTCGTCCATTTCCATACACATCGATCTTTTTCATCCAATTTGAAATCACCAAAATAATAAATCGGGATTACAATCATATCTGGATGACGAAACAGAATTTTTTATTATAAAAAATAGTTGAAAAATTGGCTCAATCACTAGGCAACAAAAATTTATTCAAAAAAACAATTGGGCTAGTCGTTGGCCCGGCTGTTAAGTCTGTCCGAAAATGTTAAACATTGCCATGAATCTCGTCTAAAAGAAAAAACATATAAATGAATTTTTTTCTTGTTCATGTTTAAAAAAATTATAGATCGATTAAACAATTTTATTTACACGTTAATCTCCGTCGAAATAAAATTTACGATGAAAATGTATTCTAATTTAATGAAAACGAAATTAAACATACGTAAATATAATTACTAATTCGAAGTGATTGATATAAAAAATTTCCTTGTCCAGCGTTTGATAAATTTTCAAGATTTTGAGGATGAAGCAAATGAAAGAGTTTTTATCTGTATTGAAATAAACAAATAAGAAAATTTAGCTGATATTGAAATTTTAAGTCGGAAGTGTTTAGTTTTCACTTGTTAATTAAAATGATAGTATTGTCGTTTAAACAAAATAATATTTTATAATTGTATATCATACTTAAGGGTATCTTTATTTTATAACATCCAGAAGACCATTGTGGAAATATGCAACTGTAGAAAATTCAAAGTGGAAATTAGAGGCTTTGACCAAGTCATTTTTAAAAGCTACCCTAGCTCAATCGGATTCGAAATGTGACAAAGTGTTGGGGTCATATCTATGGGTAAGCATGTTTATTTATCAATTCTAGGAAAAAGTGTGAACTTAATGTGTGGATTGACACTATACTTTTTCAAATTAGTAGTATAAGCTATGTGACAAGTTCTTATTAGCCAACACAATTTGTAATTGTATGTATATTTGTCTTTAATGTGGAATTATAAATTGATAACAAAGGTGCTCTTTTTTTTTTTAAATTATTGAAAAATGGACACTGAACAAATTTGGGATATTTTTGCAAATGACCATATAAAAATAGACATTTCTTGCAATTTCCTCAACTTTTAGATTTGTACGTAAATTAATGAACTTAAGTTTATTTCATTCTTTAAAATCTGTTCCTAATCATAAATGTAAAATTTGTGTTTAAGGCAAAGTTTGCCGAAACTCCATTTCATTCTTTTACAAGGAATAGATACTTCAAGAATTAATTCACAATGATATATATGACCTAAAATTTGTGCAAATTAAAGGTGGTAAAAAGTATTTCATTACTTCTATTGATAATTAGACAAAATATTATTATGTCTATCAACTAAGAAACAAATATGAGGCCTTAAATATTTTAATTATAAAAATGAAGTTGAAAATCAACTTAACAAACAAACAAATAATATTCTTAGTGATATAGGAGTAATATCTAATTAATAAGCAATCTAACTAATTAATTCTACAAATATTCAACACTTATCAATTAATTAATTAGTAATATAATTTTTCTAGTATTCCTTATCATGTATGATTCATTAGCTTCCCGATCACGATATATAACGACGTGAATTATTATTTTAATCCAATCAAAATAGATAAATTAAAATAGTCTATTAGTTTATCATTAATTCATCTAAATTAATTAATTTCACATTTACCATTCAAAGCAACATGTGAAGGGATGTGTTATGTGGTACGATAAAATCAAACTTGTTTGTTTATCGTGAAACTATAATTCTTTCGTTAATATGATTTGAATTACGGGATATGAAAGTGTATCAATCTCAATTATATATCATATC